GAGGATGTGGCAGGAGGGGGCTGATTTTCTATTTGATAGTTCTGTAACCAAACAAAATTGAAGACTATAAAAATTACGATTTGTCTGAGCAATAACCATTTTATAGAGAGTAATTTACGTTTAATTTCGTACTTTTTCGAGGGGTGATGGATGATGACATGCCAAGAGAAAATGTGTCACGTGGGTCACACTAGTGGAAATTCAGGATTTTTTAAATATTGCCTTGTAAAATTAAGAATTTAAAACTTGTATACCATTAAAATATGGATTGCTAGCTAATATTTTATGAAATTCTAATTGGTATAACATAAATAAAAAGTGGCATAATAAAATTTTGAATGTAAGACACTAAAACCTTGTTTCATGAGCAGTAAAGGGTACCCTGGACGATAGGATTAATTGTCCTGATTGGATTTTTTATTAATGTCCTAGATTAACATCTTAGAGTAAGAATATTTTTCTTCGTAAAAGTTGTTTATCTTGCATTGTCAATATTTACAAGTGAAATCCACCCGGTTTTTGAAGTTTCTGGCACTTGAAATAATACATAAGCACATATGGAGAGACATGAGACATATTCATGATACTAGTAAATCATGTAGAATAAAAAAAAAGATAAATCATTAATACAAGTGCTTTCAGAAACTACCTTAATTTTTCAAAGTTATGGTGTTTCTAGTTTTGTGGCACAGCTGAAGAAGAAAACCTAACTTTGCAAATGAAATGATGACTTTAATAAGATATTTCTTACTTTAAATAAATTTATTAGATCCATGCATACATGTGATTGCTTGTGTAAATACAATGCTATGAGAAGATATCTCTTGTTTCAGTTGTTTATATATAAGAGTTGCCAAGGCTCATACATAAAATAATGTTTTTAAAAATTACTCCATTAGTTTTATCAACTAATGTCTATACTTTTATTTGATTATTTCAGAATTTGTACATAAAGCTACATAAAGGTCAACTGAACACAGCCATCCCTAATTTTCTATTGACAGACTAGAGTAGGGGTTCTCAAACATTTAGCTTGAGTCTCCCCACTCCCCATGACCTCAGGCACTTTGGCTGAGGACTCCCATCACACCTAATGATTTAAAATAAATTTAAATAATAGCCACTCTGAAGTACTTTGCTTTCATTACAATGTGTTCTTTCAAGAAATTCCAAGCATAAACAACATGAAGTCATATTTAATGTAATAAATAAAACAACTGTTCAAAAATATTGCTTTGCTCAGTATCAAGGAAGCTTTAAAGAGAATATTTCTACATGTCCTCACATCTTATTTTAATAATGAAACTTTTTAAGAAAATTACTAAGAAAATAATTATTTTAAAACCAAATAATACAAATACTTTGAGTAACAAACATTAAATTTTAAAATATCTTTACTATAAAGCTTTCATTTTCTAGAATTTCACCTACAGATACATGTTCTGAACACAAGTCAAGTAACCGAGGCTGACCTGAGTATCAAGCCTTGCAAAACTGTGTTTCTACATAGGAGCATTTATTAAGATAGTGTACCAATAGTGTTCCTGTCACAAGGAATTTCCACTCAGTGTGCCCTGAGGAGACATGTCTTATAAAGTTACAGCTATTTAAAACTATTGACTTCTGTTGTAAAACAAAAGACCTATTTTCCTTTTGTTTGTTCAAGTGCATCCTTATAATATGTGATGGTTATTCCAAAATGGTCATAAGCATTTTTCTAGTTATCAGCAATTCATATAGTTTATGTATATTCTTACTCTTTACAACTGAATTTACATTTCTAAGTCACATTTTTAAGAATGAAAGTTTATATTAAATACAAGTTACTATCAAAAACAGAACTTGTATTTTGTTAGTAGCAAAGTCTCCAAGGAATAAAGCTCAGAAAATATCAAACCAGAATATTGTAGCTGTGATTATAAAGAGTTAGGAAATTTTAATCACTTGTCAACACAATCAGGAGCAATCCTGCAACAATAACAAGGCAAATACAAAGATTTATTAGTCATTATACAATATTCTAATATTTACTAATCATAACTGAACTTACAGTGTACTATTTTACCAGACACAGTAAGTCAGTGGAATGATGTACACTCCAACCATAAATATGATTTGAAAGGTAAACTTACATATCTACTTTCTCTAGATATTCAGCATCTTTAGTATGATGTCTTAGTTCAACACATCTTTTAATGGCATCTAAGAGAATGAGTAAGATAATTAAAAGTAATTCTAGCTTCGACTACACATACCAAAGTTTTCAATTTCACAACAAATTTTGCTTAAATCTCTTACTGCAACATTTATAAATAAACCCTCCCACTGTTAAATTTATTTCTACGTAAAGAGCAAAACACATTTAAGTGCTCTGTTACTTAACTGAACTTGAATCTGGTAAACTACAAGAAGTTTGAAGAGGAATACCTTTTCTTCATGATGGTACAAAATTTGAAACTCATATGGCTGTGCTCTAAGATGGGACATGTATGTGTCTGTGGTAGAGAGAGTTAATTGCAACATCCACAAAATTGAATACAAATCTTATCCCTTACCGAATTGATGGAAAGAAAGTTGTATTAGAATATCTTTGTGTGAAGTGTCAATTTGTTTATGTTTCATACACACCTAAATGACACAGAATACATCACTAACCCAAATTTCTATTAATATAGTATCTGCATAAATCAGTGATAAAAATAAACAACAGCTTTAATACAAACAAGACTAAATAGTAAAATATTAAAGGTTCAATCATCTCACATCAGTTACAGTGCACTTTTAAACAATGATTCTGTGCCTTATATGTATAATTAAAAGTATTTATTTTTCTTTTATTTCCAGTTAATTGGTTTGATTTGGGAATTTCAATTCCCACAGTCTTTTCTATGTAAACTCAATAATTTTACATTTTTTCTTCTAACAAGTTGTTTCTGACACTTTTTAACACACTGATTGAAAATATTCTTGTGAAATATTTATTTTTACTTTTTAATATTATGGCTTGACATGTTATTCAACTTTAGCAATTTTCACACTTCTGCATTTCTAGCTATGACCACAATACATTCATTTCTCTTTTTAGTGATTCTAGATTTTCACACTTCTGCATTTCTAGCTATGACCGCAATACATTCATTCCTCTTTTTAGCAATTCTAGACTTTCACACTTCTGTGCTTTTAGCTATGACTGGGGTACCCATTTATCTCTCTTTTTAGTGATTCTCAATTCTAAAACTTTCCTTTTCTAGCTATGACTGGAGTATATTTATTTCTCTTTATGCTTATTTTAAAGAAGATGGCAAATAGATTAGCTATAGACAAAATGCACAGGGAAATAATATGCTTATAAAAGTTAATATATGTTCATAAATGAATAAAACTTTTCTTGATGATAATTTTTTTGACATATAATGATACTTAAAATGGGTTTCCAAAGTCAAATCTAGTTATGCAAAGGTTAATAGCAATTAATAATTTTGGTCAAATTACAGAAAATATAATTTTTCAGGATTCAAAAATTATATAATTCAATCTGCAAGAAACAAGTGATAATTCCCACATGAATATTATACTTGGTTTAGAACTCTCATACAGCTCTCATGGATATACACTATATATAACTTCTTATATATATTACAAAGCTTATCTTAAACTTCATCAATAACTAATTATCAAAGTTTGATGTTCAATTTACAGTTATTAAAGTTATAATAGATAATTTTATTTGAGCTTCTAAAGTAAAAACATATCAGTATTAATAAGAGTGAGAACAAACATCATACGTAATGTTCCATGATGATAAAACAATTCTTGAGAAATAAGTTTTAAAGTATGTCAAATAATATTTAAGATGAGTAAGTTGAACTGTTCCTACCTTTAGCAAACACATCTCCAGGATATATACGCCCATTATATATGTCTAATATATAAACATTTCTCTCATTTAAGAAGTCTCTTTCATGACCATTACCCTAAAAAGGACCAGAAAAATAGAATTATAATTTTTTTCTACTGATATATTTATTACTGAAAATTAAACATGTTTGTAATTGTCTTAATCCTTTACAACTACTTACATCATCTTTTTATTCTTTAGAACTTTAATATAACAAGATGTACTAAAAGTTTTATCAGTTATGCTTTTTCATGACATAAGTCTGTAGCATGAATAAGACTAATGCTTATTTTGCCTTTGGTTTAGAATATCTAAATTACAATGTAGGTTAGGGTTTTTAAAATTGAGAAAGAACATACCTGATGGGCATCTAAATCAACAATCATTGCTTTCTGAATCATCTGCCTTCTTAAAAGGAATTGTATGCATAGAGTGATGTCTGCATAAACACAAAACCCACCACCCTGTTCTCTTGAGCAGTGATGAAATCCTCCTCCAATGTTAATAGCCCAATTTCGTTCAAGTGCAAGTTTGCCTGCCTAGAGAAAAACATGTCTATCTGAACTTTGAGATACTTTAAAATACACAATCAGATATTAACTTATTCTAAATTTGAATAGCTCCCTCAGTAACTTGTTTCTGTACCTTCTGGCATTGCCATCCCTACATAATCCTTTTTTTTCAAAGCTTTTTTTATTACTTGTATCATCATCAATTTCAACAGTATTACATTTTAAACAATGAACATAGTTGATACAAAAGTGTATAACAAATAAAATTACTGCTGGGCTGTAAACACCAAAGTATTTTTTTATCTGTTCTATTTATGGAATGCTTCTGATGAAGAAATATAATAAACTAAGAAAAATCAAACTGTTGTAAATCATGATCAACAGCAACCAAAACATTCAGTACATCTAACTAATTTGTATTCATCAGAACTGGATTTTGCTTCTTAGACTTCTCCTTCTAGATTGGAGGATCAGTTTCCAGATTTTTTTTTTTAATTTGACAAAAAGATAAAAGTATAATAAAAAAAAAGATGCTTTTAGCAGCTGGATTTGAATTTAAAAAAGATAACAGTGTATTAAAATTACATGAGGAAATGTAGTTATAAATAAGAGTTGATTCCTGACCCTCTATTACTCAGATAACCAACTGATGCATAGATCAATAGAAAGACATTTGCTAATTCAGTGTAAGGATAAAATAGAAGCAGTGATCCAAACTTTAGAGAAAGTCCAATTCTTTGATGAATGAACTGCAAATAGGGTTTCTTCTTGTTCAAACTTCTTGGTGGTTTGACTAATCAGTATAATGAAAAAATAACTTTCTTCTATTTGAATTACTAAAATGTTGCTTATCAAATTTTCATAAAATTCCATTCATAAAAGTTCATGAATGTTAATTTTAGGAAGTTAATATATTTGTGTTATGGCTGCATTATGATTTGGTTTGAGTGGACCTTTAATGTATCCATAAAGATAGCCAAAGAGTCTACCAGTAATAAAGAAAATCTAGCACTGTATATTCTACTCTTATCAGATGGACCATTTTTCCCATTATTGTATTACTTATCAAAATACATATTTTTAAGATGGATGAAGATCTGTGCAAATCAGGCTGAAAAATTAACATTTTTCTTACACTCAAAATGTATTTCCGATAGGTACATACCTGCTTCTCACACAAAGCTGTCTCAGTCTTCATATGCTCTCTAGGTATTGCTAAAAAATTTCATGATCAGTGCACCAGTCTATATACCCCATCAATTTCATGCCATTCCTGAACATTTACATATCAGGTGACTACTTTCCACCAATAGCACTGTGCCAACTATGTTGGTGCAGCTAGCTCCCTCTGCTATTTCCACTCGAGCCTCACTTTTGAGAATTGGCTGACTCCAAAAAAAAGAACACTGGTTGTGAGGAGGAAGAGTGGGAAGTGTGTGATAGGAGGTAAGTACCTATCGGAACCAAGAAAAATTTTAATTTCCTATACGGTCTTACCTCTTTTCACACAGAGCTAGAATCGCACACTGCAAAGGTGGAGGGGCTGGTTTAGGTACATAACATAGAAACTAAGTGTAAAGCAAACACCCACAATGAATGGGTGTGCTCAGAGATGAAAACGAAGCACACTTGTGTTGTACCGCAATACTTTTGGAACAGGTATGCTCTCTGTCCAGGAAGTAGGAAGTTATTCTCAAATGGGCAGAAAAGGAAATTACTTACACTACCGTATTATGTTCTGAGAGGTGCAAGCTGTAGCAACATATAAACAGAATTAGCTATGTACATTTCTAACCTCAATTGGACAGATGAGGTTCCATAACTCGTCATTGGCATTAGGAGGTTGAGGATGAAAAAAAAATTGTAACATCAATAGTGTAGCTAGGGCATGTGGACCATGTTATATATAACCATCAACCCCAACCATAAGTAACCAGAGTGCCATACATCAAACAACTGGAATTACAAAGAGGTAGTGAGCTTTCAGATGAAACAGGACTAACTCCCAAAACAACTGTAGGAACAAGAAGTACAACAAACTGAACCCAGCATTATGGGGTCATGGCATTACCTCAATACAACCATAAGAACAGAGTAATAGTTGTAACTGAAATTACAGCCAAAATCATAACTCACTCTACCGTAAATGCAGGGAAGAGACAACCTGCATCTGGAATTATGAGGAGGACATGATACATTTGCCCAACCATAGGAACAGAGTGCGTACATCCTGTTGACGGTGTTACAAGGCAGACAAAGTTTCCCAAACTCAACCATAAGAGCCAAAAAAGAACTTCCTGCAACCGGAATTAACAAGAACTCAACTGTAGGAACAGGGCATTGTCATCCTGAACCTGGCATTATGAGGAGGATCCTGTGTAGCCTGGACCCACTCCAACTGACATGTGTCCACCTGGGAAAAATCATCCAGGAGAAATGGAATGAGGGAAACCAGCATTGCTCTATTCTCACCGAATGTATAATCATGAGTAGGTATGGCAAAGTAAATTCGAAAATCACTCAGGAGGAAGACTCCACTGTCCACCACCCCAGCGACTGGGTAGTGGTAAACACTCCGATGCTCCACTGGAAGAAAAAAGGGGGAAATGTGGTGGGAAGCCTGGAGAGCATCACACTGGAGAAAGTGCAATGGGTGTAAGGGATTTCCTATTTTGAAAAGCAGACCAACCCCAATTTATTCAATCAAAGAGTTGGCAGGGATGGGCAGAATCTCATGTAACTTGGTAACAAGTAATAAATGCAAAAAAAAATTTGACACAAGTGAATGCAAACACAGTAAAATAAAACTGTTGAAAAAAAATTGAAATTGAAAAGAAGCATGTTCATAAACAGTAGCCACATACAAAAAACACACATCTAAACAGTGCTGTGCCAATCGGGGAAAATGAGAATTGAGCGGGAATGACAGAGGGAGCTAGTTGCACCAATATAGGTGGCACAATGCTGTTGATGGAAAGTAGTCACATGATATGTATATGTTCAGAAATGGCATGAAATTGATGGGGTATATAGACTGGTGCACTGATTGTAAAACTTTTTAATAATGCTTAGAGGGCAGATGAAGATCGAGAGAGCTTTGTGTGAGGTTAGGTAAGACCATATCAGAAGCTGCTTTTAACACAATAGTGTAGCATTTTTCATATCTTTCAAATGAATTAAAATCCATCATCTAAACCTTCTCAATACATCATTACATGATGTTTTTGTTTCCTATGCTCTATATCAGTATTCATTTTACATCTGTTTACTGTTATTGAATATATTATTAAATAAAATTTGAATTCAATTACAGTTCTGTACTGAAATACTAATTACTGTATAATAAGTTTAAGATACCGATTGCTAAAACATTAATCTTAAACAGTTATACACATAACTGATATCTCAAAAACAAAACATTTACCTACCAGTATTGTCCCTCCAGTTTGATACCTGAATGGTTTGAGTACCTTCCTTTGCACCAAGAAATTGGGGAACAGAGCTACAAAAGGCACTTCTGTCACTTGTGCTACATATGCACTCCACTGTATGCATAGAAAATAGTGCAAGAACATCACCAAATTCAAGTTTTATTACAATTTCTGTAATGTAAAGAAAACTGGACTAAAGTTTAAACATATGCAGAATTTATCAAAGTCTATAGAACTATGAAAATAATATTGTTACGTCTCCGTTTGTTAATTGATTTTCCGTAACTTTGTTCCGACGAAATTTAAGCGACACAAGTCTTTACTTAATAAAACTGGTTTATTCTTTCCGAATATAATTTTACGATACACTTATTTCAATATTCGCGTTAAAACAAACACTATAACGAACGAACGTTAACTTCAACAATACCCTGTGACTGCAGTTCAATTACTCACTATCTACTCACACACATTACCTTTCGCGTCACGTTGTCCCCCTCTTATATATACCCGCCTACCCCCATCTAGTAAATACTAGAGCATTCATGAATAAACAAGATAGTTCTAGAAACTTAAGCGATACAAGTCTTTACTTAATAAAACTGGTTTATTCTTTCCGAATATAACTTTACGATACACTTATTTCAATAATCGCATTAAAACAAACACTATAACGAACGAACGTTAACTTTAACAATACCCTGTGACTGCAGTTCAATTACTCACTATCCACTCACACGCATTACCTTTCGCGTCACGTTGTCCCCCT